CAATAATAGTGATTTAAGGACTGTAGTAAGAACAGACTTTTACTCTCTTCCAAATTTTGTACCTGATGAATTTCCTGTGATAAGCATATAGCATACAACAATGAAGGGAAAAAAGGTGAAAAAAATTTTAGTAGGGCACATATTTATTTCTGGTCATCACATCCACTGCATGCATGCATTCATTCATTTGTTTAGTGAGACAGAGTCTCTCTGTCGTGCAGGCTGGAGTGCAGTGGTGTAATCTCAGCTCACTCCGCCTCCCAGGTTCAAACAATTCTCATGCCTTAGCCTCCCGAGTAGATGGGACTATAGGTGTGTGCCACCACTTGGCTAATTTTTTTTGTATTTTTAGTAGAGATTTGGGTCTCACCATTTGGCCAGGGTGGTCTCAAACTCCTGGCCTCACTGATCCACCCACCTTGGCCTCCCAAAGTGCTGGGATTACAAGCATGAGCCATAGGGCCCAGCCCTGACTAGCATGTAGTTCACTAAGTTTGCTAAAAGAAACACACATGCAACATACAAGCATATACATACACACTTATTTTTTTCCTTTTATAACCAAAGAAGGAGACACTAGATAACCAAATTTATTTCTGAAAAATTTAAGCCTAATATAATTCTAATTACAACTTTCAGCCAAAGTAAATAAGCAATCCAGCTGGGACAGCCAAACTGGAATCTGCAAATAGCAAGGGCAACAGGCCATGGGCTCATGTCTGTAATCCCAGCTTACTTGGGAGACTGTGGTGGGAGGACTGCTTGAGCCCAGGAGTTCAAGTCCAGCATAGGCAACACAGCGAGACCTCATCTCTAAAAAGAAAAAAAAAAACTTAAACAAAAAAAAATTTTTTTTTTTCTAATTAGCATGAGTGTCAGACTAGGAAATTCCTCTTTCATGATACCCACTGCCATCCTTTCCAGGTCAGCAGCAGACCCCTATTAGACCCCTATCCTCATTTCATTTCTGGTCTAGGTCAGTTTAGTTTTCTTTCAGCAGTTAGTGAACTGCCTTAGACCCATGAGAGAGACAGTAAACTGGATCAAGAAGGGAGGGGTGGAGGAAAAGGGGAAGGAAAGGACTTGAAGGATTAATGAGCTTTCCATTAAGGCTTTGACATCTTGGAATGAAAAGCAGCCTGTAAGAGCAGAAGCCCAGTCCTTTCCTGAGGCCATGTTGCCAGCTGACCATTCATCACCAAAAATTCCCTAACAACTCCATGGCTATTGCTTAATCACCTCATATAAATCTCTATTAATCTTGCATAGTCAAAACACAAATATATGACAAAAGTCTTCATTTTATGTGCCCTTAATTTCAGAGTCAAAATTTACAAACTGAATTGGTTATCCAATAGCTCCAATGAATTCTTTTTAAAACCTTCTTTGAGAACAAAAGCACAAATACGTATCCACTAGCATTTTTGTACTTATGGGACTGAACAAACTCAGGCTAGTGATCAAATAAATTATAGAAGGAAAAGGGTGTTGGTGTTAAAATTTAAGCCAACATTTTTTTTCTTTGCAATAACATTAATTTTTCATAGCTTATATTCAAAAGATACAGAAAATCCTTAGTAGGCTCAAAGGAACATTTATTCTTCTTTCATGTGTAAATTACCAGGGACATGAAAAAGCCTCTTCAGCAGCTGAATTTGGAATACTGTGCATTGTAATATCTTCATGGGAAAGGCAGGTGAGAAAATAAAGACAGGGGTCTGTTCTGAGAAGGGACCGCTAGGACCAGAGGGGGTTCATCTGAGCATGGAATTAACTAGTATAGACAGACAACTCCCCGAACAAGAGGACCTCAGGGACAGGGCAGGCAGGTGACATGCTGAGGCTTCATCGCTTATACCCAGTTCTATATTTGCTATTTAGGAACCTCAAACTTTTCCTGTCAATGATGTGGATAATATAGGAAAACTGATACATAGCTTTGGAATGCATTGTGCTTCGGCAGTATGTTTTCCTTCCAAGCTCTATTCCAGGCTCTGAACACATCCTGATTAATACTTGTAAAAGTGTGCTGGGGAGCAAAAGGAAGCCTGGTGCTAGGAACCATTTACAGACCACCCACAAAGTGGAAAGTTCACACTTAGATAATAGAGAGTTGACTGTACTGGAAACAGAAAAAGTGGCTTTCCTACATTCTGGGCAAGGAAGGTGGAAACCCAGTAAATTGCAGTGATTCATGCCTTTGTCTTCCAGAGCTGGAAAATCATGGAGAAAAATCAGAAGTAGGGTGGGGAGCAGGGAAGGAGAATGGAAAGCCCAATTAGTAAAACAGCAGTAGGGGCCACAGGACAGGTTTTAAAAGGCCAGGAAGATTTCTCTTCCTCTTAGCTAGAGAGGAAGCTGACGGCAGCTTTGTCGGCCATCTTCAGACACCGCCCAACATGAAGGTCCACTCGATGGCTGGTCTGCCACTCCATCTGCTCCATCCCATCCAACAAGAGGTAATGGACTCAGGAAGCCAGTGGATAATGACTTTCTATGAGATGCATGAAGAAGTAGCAAGCTGAGGGTGCAGAAACTCCTTCCTCACAGCACTTTAAAAACTGGAGTGTTAGGATACTTGGGACAGTCTTGGCTAGAAGCAGGGTTTCAGAGGATAATTTCTGGAGAGCCCTGACTTCTCGATCCCCAGAAATAACAGATAGGAAGAAGTGGCCTATTAACTGGCAAACAGCTGGGGATACTGATGTGGTATGTATCTTTGGGAGGCTAAGAGCCATGCAGAAGGCAAATGGTACTAGACTTGGGGAAACACTTTATGGGTAGGCAACTCCTACTTTCTAAATAAAATGGAGAAAACAGATTGGGTGCAGTGGCTCACACGCCTGTAATCTCAACACTTTGGGAGGCCAAGGCAGGTGGATCGCCTGAGCCTAAGAGTTCGAGACCAGCCTAGGCAACCTGGCAAAACTCCTTCTCTACCAAAAAAACCCCACGAAAAACAGCTGGGCATAAATAGCATGTACCTGTAGTCCCAGCTGCTCAGGGGACTGAGGCGGGAGGATCACCTGAACCCCGGAAGGTCCAGGCTACAGTGAGCTGTGGTAGCACCACTGCACTCCAACCTGGGTGACAAAGCATGACCCTGTCTCAAAAAAAGAGGAGCAAAAACAGATAACACACTAAAAATGAGAGGCTCCCAATAACTTTATTGGCATTTCAGACACAAGATAATTTCTCCATCAATATCCCTGTCCAAAGCGATTAATGCTGGGACAATCATCAAGACATACACATCCACACATTGGGAAATCCACCACTGGCTCCTTCACCAAAAGGTTTCTTTCAGGAGCTTTCACTCTGTGGCCTGGCCATCCTTCCTCAGTCCCATTCTCTGCCACTTGTGCCTTATACTTTAGGTTCCAGAGGGCTAACTTCCTTATGGTTCTCCAAACTTAATGTTTCATTTCATATTGCCTGTGCTATTACTTAAGCCTGGAATTCCCCTACATGTCTTGGCCACTTGGTTAAACTCTGGTTCACTCTTGATGGCTGGTTCAATGTCAGCCCTCCCTCACCCCTGTTCTGGGCTACTGCTGTACCTACTGCAGACATTCATTGTAACACTTAATATACCAGACGAAAATTATTTATTTACACATCTTTCTCACTTCGTGGAAGTCCCTGAAGCCAGGACTAGTTCTTTTATATTTTTGTGTCCCTACATCTCCTCTTTGTGTCCCTATAAAGGCTGGCAGGTAGCCTGTGCTCAACAATGCTCTGTTGAATTAAACTGATTTGAGAGCCTCACACAACCCATTACTTGATTTGCCATAGAAGGTAGGGAGCCCAACAACAGTGATCAAAAGCACAGTTCTTGAATAATAAAAAAGAGAGGCTTCTACTTTAGACAGCCAACATACTTAAGAAAAAAAAAAAACTTGTTTCTCAAACTTTAAGCAGCAGAATTTTATTTATTTTTGAAACAAGGTCTTGCTCTGGTCACCCAGGCTGGAGTACAGTGGTGCAATCATAGCTCACGATAGCTTTAAACTCCTGGGCCCAAGCCATCCTCCTGCCTTAGCCTCCCAAGTAGTTGGGACTATAGGCATGCACCAGCATAGCTGGCTAATTTTTGCTGTGGTTGTCGTTTCGTAGAGATGGGGTCTCACTGTGTTGTCCAGGCTGTTCTTGAACTCCTGGGCTCAAGCAATCCTCCTGCCTCAGCCTCCCAAAGTGCTGGGATTAAGGACATGAACCACCACACCTGGCCAATATACTGACTCTTAATCAAATGTGTGCACTATGGCAGGACAGGTGGTAACATGTGCCTCTTCTGAAGCCACTCTGCTGGAACATGCAGAGGACCTACAGGGCCCTCTGCTGTTAACACTATCTTACCAGAGTCCTGCAACACAGATTTTGAACGTGGCATTACAGGGAAGACTCCCTGTATCTTAAAGGATAAATTCTTTTTACTTCTTCCACTTTCACACAGTAAATGTTCTAAGTTCCAGGATAAACTAACAATGGCAAGGACGAAAAATATGTTTCTACTCTTTTTTGCCTGGTTCGCTCAAGCTACCCTACTACCCACCTAAGAATGGCCACTTCTATCCCCTCTTGCTATTCACACCCTATCTGTTCCTCAGTGCCCGCTCAAGCCTACAGCAATCTCTAATCTCTGAGTTGTCATGGCACCTAAGAGTTTGTACCACATTATTTAGTCAATTATTGCCGTTCATTTTTATAACCTAACACAGGACTGGGCACAGAGCAGGTTTCAATAAAATCAAGCTGATTGGTGGGCAGATAAAAAGCCATATTACATGCCCCTCAGTCACTTAGCAGTTTCAGAAAAATTGTCGAGAAAATATTTTTCTTTCTTTACCACAACCCAAAGTTCTAAAAGGATAAATACTCCAATAAGTTTAGAAAATTCATGCCAGTGACTTTTAAAACTCCCCACAACTAGAAACAGCAATTCTCGAATGTATTCCTAACCCCTGATAACTCCTTGCTCATGTGGGATTTTAACATACCTCTTAGCCAGCCAGAGTTTGGCTTTGGTACAAAGAGTGATGTCAGTCAGTTCGTGCTGGAAGTCTGAATTCGTTCTGTGTTTGGAGTCTGAGTAGGCTTGCAACAAATGAAAAACCTAAACCAAAAAAGAAAAAAAAAAAATACAATGTCCTGCTGTGAAAATGTATTTTTCCTAAATGCTCAGTTCCTCTCTTTTAGGTTTCCTCAAAATATTCCCGTCAGAAAATAGACACCTGCAGAACGTAGCTCTGGTCTCTTTTCAGAAAACCATGTTGGTTTTGGAGGATGTAGCTGTGGTGAGCAAAACAAGTCCTTATTCCATACCTGTGCTATGGGCTTCTCACACAGTACCCAAAACTGATGACTGTGGCCCAACAATCATTTGCTATAAGAGTTTCTTAGTTATAAACAACCTATACATTGATTTCAGCAAATAAATGTGAATATCTTTATGTTAGCAGTCTCGTGAAAATAAAATGTGCCTTTCATTTTTTTTTATTACTTTTTTTTTTTTGAGACAGAGTGTTGCTCTGTCGCCCAGGCTGGAGTGCAGTGGCATGATACCTGCTCACTGCAACCTCAGCCCCCCAGGTTCAAGTGATTCTCCTGCCTCAGCCTCCTGAGTAGCTGGGATTAGAGGTGCAAGCCACCACACGCAGCTAATTTTTTAATTTTCAGTACAGACAGGGTTTCACCATGTTGGTCAGTCTGGTCTCAAACTCCTGACCTTGTGATCTGCCTGCCTCAGCCTCCCAAAGTGCTGGGATTATAAGCGTGAGTCACCGTGCTCAGCCAAAATGTACCTTTTAAAGTCAACGTCTTCGATTTAAAGAAAAATAAATTGTTTGAGAGTCTAAACTGGCTTACATGTCTGGGTTCATTAGAACAGTCTTGGCTAAAGAAGTAGGCCAAACTAATTCTTGCCTTAGCAAATACTGGGCAGTGATGTTTATAACTAGGGTTTTTTTTTTTTTTTTTTTTTAGCAGATCATCCCTTCTACGTCAGGAGCGAACGCAGCAATGCAGATGTGCCCCACTTACACATGTATACCTGTGTGTATGCATGTATGCATGCATGTATGTATGTATGTACTGGATTCAGCAATGACATCCACAAGGAGAGTACAAATCTATAGCAGACAAAGAATGAGGACAGGGCATAAATTACATCTTTTGACCTTGGCTAGCGCCTAGGAGGAAAATGCATGTCAGAGAAATCCTTCAGTCTCCAGCACCCTTATCTAAATCAAGAGGAAGAGGTGGGTGCAGCAAAGTAAGCACAGATAAACACACTAAGAACTCTGAATGTCTATTTTAATAAAATCTGTTTTCTTTCCCTATTATATCCTCCTCTAGAGCTGTGAATGATTCTTTCTATGTAACCAGATTCAACATTTTCTTTTCTCTCCTGTCAACAAGGGGCTCACAATAGTGAAATAATTGAGAGTTAGATACAGAAGGGGGTAATGAGAAACAGAAAAAGCCAGATAAAATCAATCCAGAGTCATCAGACCCTAAATGGGTGAGTTGGCAGGTTTTACTGGGTCAGACGTCTGCAATCACCAACAACAAATACATGCCAAGCACCTTCTGTTTAGAGAATCAAAATAATTTTTTTTCTGAACAGAAGTAACTATACAGGAGAGTGCACACAAGTCCCAGTGTGGAGACTGAAAATGCTTTCTCTAATAATGGATCTGTTATTTCAGAAGCAACAGATCAAATGTCGCGCCTTCACCACACCCCCCGCAGGGACCTAAACCGCCTGTCGTGGAGTCTGGAGCAATGGGTCTGGCTGGAGCTTCTGTTCTTAGGTGGTGACTGCCAGAGGCAAAAAATACCTCCCTCAGCCTGAATCCCCACTGTCCTGAAAGAGCTGGCAAAGTCACTGGGCTTTGCTTTACTTTTCTCTACAGCTGCACAAAACCAACCACCAGGGCTTTTCATGGTGTCACAGGATCGCAATTAATCAGCAGACACCAGCAGAATACACGACTTTGGAATTTACTTGTAAAGAAACCTGTGAGATTTTCAAATGCTTCTCATTTAGAACCAAAAACTTCAAAAATAACACCTGATGGATGTTTAAACTTAGTCCTATATTTGCTCACCTTACTTGGCAAAAACAAGACTGTTTTTGAAACACTTGGTAGCTCTGGTTTATGAAAATCAGCCTACAAGTCCATCAATTCCATCATGTTGGGCACAAACCAGACAATTGTGATCCTGGTTATTCACCAGGAATGGAGAGTGATCTATTTACATTGGACAATTGGAGAGAAAAGTACGCTGAAAAGAAGCATGTTAAAGGGCCAGCATCAGAGCAGTCAAAGAAAAAATGGGGCAGGGAAGGAGAGAAAGAAGAGAAGACAGTGGAAGAAGAAAGGAAGAAAAAATTTATAAGCAAACGTATGAAACAGGTTAGTGTTTTTGAGATATTTTTCTTTAAAAAATTAATAAAAATATTTGAATACACCCTCATAAGACATTTAGTGTTCTGGGTTCAAGAAAAATGAGACCATCCTTTGGCATGAGGTCCAGGTATAAGGCCAGGCCCTCTGGAACTAGGATTTGATCAAGGTCAGACCCAGGAGCTCCAGGCAGCTCCCAAGAAGGGCAGTTTGTCCATCAGCTCTTAAAGGATGGCAGGGGCAAGGCAACTCCTTCCCCACCTTCCTACAGTTCTGGTCCCAAAGAATTCTGAGGCTAAGAAAGTAGTCAGGCCCAGGCCTGTACTGAACCAAGCACAGAGAAACCAAAGCTGCCAGAACCAAGAAGGATGATTAACTGATCACACATGGGAACTCTGCAAAGTTTAGTGTCATTTTAGGTGTCCAAAACCGGCAATTGAATCCAAACACTGTCAACAAATATTTATTAAACAACTCATTACCAGGCACTGTCCTACGGGCTGCAGCAGAGATCAGATAGTTCCTCGCTTTCCTGTAGCTTACATTCTAATCATGGATAAATGAAAAATCAATAGTTTTCCTAACTCTGCCTGGTCATGACGTATAACCTGCATGGCAGCATCGCCATCAGTGTCCTTTTTATGCTTGACCTCCCCCGCCAATAAGTCTGATGCATTGTAGGAATTCAACAAGCACCTGCCAAATAAAAACGATGTTGGTATTTGGTGCCTCTTCCCACATTCACTCCTTTAGGATACATTCCCTTGGGTTTGGTGAGCTATCGCAGGTGCCAACTGCTGTGTCTAGAGTGGAACGGAGAGCTCAATCACACTGGGCTCCTCGTCCAGGGGATGGCTCATCTGATAGCGGAGGCAGGAAGGATAGACTAGTGCTAAGAATCCAGCCTTATGGGAAAGTGGAAGAGCATGGGTTTTAGAGCCGGGCAGACATAGGTGTAAACCAATTATCAGCCGTGGGGCTTTGAGCAACTTAACCTCTGTTTTTCCAAGGTAAATGGCCTATGATAATATCTAACTTATAGGACTGTAGAGAGATTTAAAATAATATATTTATGACTAGGCACACACTAGGCATGCGATAACAATGCTGATTCTTTTCTGTGTTCTGTCTGCTCCCTCCCTTCCAGCCCCATTCCAAAAATAAACACAGAAGACTTTGCAGAAAGAGTGATATGCATATTTGGCCTTGAAAACAATCTTGCCAGAATCGAGGGAAGGGTATGCAGGCAGGGAAAACAATTAAAAAACATTTTAAGGGTATTAAAATATTGGTAATACCAACAAAAAATGAATTTTAAACTATGGACTTTAGTTAATAATAGTGTGTAAATATTGCTTCATTAATTGAAACAAATATACCATACAAATACAAGATATTTATAGTAGGAGAAAACTGGGGAAGGAGGTGAGGAGAAGAAAAATATTTGGGAACTTTCTGTATTACCAGCTCAATATTTCAAAAAATCTAATTGTTCTAAAAGTAGTCTATTAATTTTTAAAAATGTTGATACCGTTCAGGGGAGAGAGAGCAAGTGGTCCTGTGTGTGCAGGGTACAGCCAGGGTGTGCACAGGGCAGTGGGAGACACGGCTGGAGAAAGGAGTTGGGTCAGGTCAGAGAGAGACATTAAAGGCAATGTTAAGGAATGTGTACTTTATTCTACGGATGGCAAAGATTTTTTCGGAGAGTGCTCTTGGGTGATGAGATCTGTAATTTGGAGAAAAAAGCAAGGGGCAGTGTGGAGGTCATAGCATCAAGGGTGGAATGCCCAGGACTACAGCAGTAGTCTAGGCAGGAAGAGGTGAAACTGGCGGCTCAAAACCAATAGTCTGTCGGCCCAAAGCGGCTGCAGATGTTTTATTTAGCCCATGTAGTACTTTTAAATCAGTCTGTATGAACTGGGAGATTTCACATTAAAGTCATCCTGATTTCCCATTTATTTTGAGAAATTTGATCTGGCTATAGCAGCCCACCTTCCTGTAGGGTAGACAGTCACTTAGCCAGCCTGAGCAGCAGGAACTGGCCCTGGAGACAAGAACAGCACGCTCTGGCCCACCACTGTCACCACTATGACTATTGCCTGTTACTCTAGTCACTAAGACGGAGGGTCAATGGCTTTTATCAAAACTCTTGGGCAAAAAAAAAAAAAAAAAAAAAAAAACTTCTGAAGAATCAAGAAGAAAATAAAATACTTAACTGAATCCAACTCTCTATTAAAAGCTTGAAAACAAAGAACAGGCAGAGAGCCCCTGTGTTTATACTCATCCCCACTTGGTTCACTTACCTGCCTGTTACGGGTAGGATTCTGATTTTGTGATACCCCCACTGTACCCCAATCTAAACTATAACAGCAATGGAAGGACAGGAAAGGATGTGTTTGAGAGAGCCTCTGTGGGCTGCAGAGGCAGGGCTTCGCAACTGCTTCAGACATGGAGTTGAGCGGCAGGAAAGAGCCTCTCGGGCAGCTGGTGAACGAGGCGCATCTTTCAAGATGGAGCTCCTAAGAGAATCTGTAGCAGGCTTGGGAATGAGGGAGGGGAATTAATCAGTTTGTTTGGGAATATCCATGTGATGATTGCTTTACTTAGGGTTTTATCTCGCAAAAAAAGAATTCTTTTGAGACAAAAGGGAGCTCTATTAATAATCACATTGGGAAAAACAGAGGACAGATGTTTACCCCTAGTT